GTTGGAGATGTAGTGGCGGGTGCTGCCGGCATTTCGTCTATTTTGGAGGGAGAGAGAGGGAAAATATGATCAAAATTATGCCTTTTTAGAAAACCAAAACAGCCAACTTACCGCAGCTTATTCTTGAGAATCTCAATCTCCTTCAGCAGCGACTCATTCGCCTCCAGGGCGTCCTCCAGCTCCCGCTGCGCCTTCCGACGATTGGACTTCTCCCGACTGAGCTCATCGTCCACCTCGTCCAGCTGACTCTTCAGCGTCTTCTGCCGGGAGGCCAGTTTGTCCGCCTTGGCGGCATTCTGCTCCGAGGTTCGCTTCTCGTCCTCCAGCTGCTGCAGCAGGTCCTTGACGCGCTTCTCAATCTTCCGCACCGCTTTCTGCGCAAACTGCTTCTCCTTCGTCTCAATGTCCAGCTGTTCCTCCAGCTGGACAATCTTCCCCTCCAGCTGCTTCTTCTTATTGGTGACGGCCGTCTGCTTCTGCTTCCGCTCGTCCTCCAGCTCCACCTCGAGGTCGCGAATGCGCTTGGTCAGAGCACGACGCTTCTCCTCCGCCGCCTCCTCCTTGTCCTTCGACTCGCGCTCAAACTGCGCCTTCATCGCCTGCGCATTCACCTCGAACCTCAGCTTGGCGTCCTCGCAGACCATCAGCTCGTCCTCCAGCTCCTCAATCTGCGCCTTCTGCTCGGCGACCGTGTTTTCCAGCGTCCGCTTAGCCCTCTCCAGCTCGTGGTAGTTCTTGTGCGCCGAGTCCTGGTTGTTCACCAGCTCGTCGAGCTCCGTCTGCGCCAGCTTCCGCTGGCGCTCGCTCTCCTCGAACATCGCGTCCGTCTCCTCCAGCTCGCGATTGAGCGACAGAATGCGCGTCTCCTTCTCGCGCATCTCCCGCTCGGCATTGTCCAGCGCGGCGGCAATCTTCGCCGAGGTCTCCTTCTCCTCCTGGATCATCGAGTCGAACTTCTTCTGCTTCTTCTCCAGCTCGCTCACCTTGGAGCGCTGGTTGTCCAGTTCGATCGTCAGGTCGTCCACCTCACTTTGCAGCTTCTTCTTCGACTTCTCCAGCTTGTCGACGGCGGCCCGGGACTCCTTCAGCTGGTGAAGGACCACCTCCAGCTCCTTGGCCGCCTTCTTGCGGTTCTCCTCGCTGATCGTCAGCAGCTCGACGTCCTCCTCCACCTTCTTCTTCAGCTCGGCGATGGTCGCCTGCAGCTGGCCGAGCTTCGCCTCCAGTCCCTTCTTCACGTTCTCCTCCTCCTCGATGGCCTCCTGCAGGGCGTCCCGCTCGCTCTCCACCTGGCGGAGGCGTGAGTTGAGCGACAGCTTCTGCTTCGTCTCCTCCTGCAGCAGCTCGTGCACCTCCGTCAGCTGGGCATTGAGGGTGTTGTTGTTCTTCTCCGCCTGACTCGCCCGGCGATCGGCCTCCTCGCAGTTGACGATCGATGCCTCCAGCTCCGCCTGCTGCTTGCTGGCCTTCTCCAGGAGCTCATTGCGCTGCGCCTCCGCCTGTGCAAAGCGGGCCGTCAGCTCGGCCACCGTCGACTCGAGCTGCTTCCGGCGACGTTCCGTCTCCGCGCGGCTGCTGGTCAGCGTGGCCAGCTCCGTCGCCATCAGCCCATTCTCCGTCTCCAGGGCCGTCTTCGCCTTCTCCAGCGCCGCCTTGGCCTTCTTCAGGCCGTCGATGGTCTCGTTGAGCTCCTCGCTGGCCTTCGCCTGCTTCGCGCGCAGATCCTGGATGGTCGTCTCGTGCTGACTAGACTCCTCCTCGAGGCTGCGGCGCAGTCGGTCCATCTCCTGCTCGCGCTTCACCGTCAGGTCGTGCTGAGCGGCGGTGACGTCCAGCGAGTCCATCAGCTCGTTCTTCAGCGCCTCCAGCTCCTCATTGAGGTCGCGCTTCTGCTTCTCCGCCTTGGCGCGCGCCGCCCGCTCCGACTCCATGTCCTCATGAGCCTCGGCCAGCTGCGACTCCAGCTCGCGGAGGGCCTTCGAGGCGGCCGCCCGCGCCGCCGCCTCCTCGTCGCAGCGCATCAGCGTCTGACTCAGTTCCGCCTCCTTCTTGCTCATCTGGTTCTGCAGGTCCTCCAGCTGGGCGGCCTTCTCGTTCAGCTGCTCGCGGGTGTCGTTTAGTTCGGTCTCCACGCGGCGCTTCGTGCGCTCAAGCTCATTCTTGGCCTGAGGGAAGAAAGAGAATGAGAGAGAAAGGGAAGGATNAGGTCCTCCAGCTGGGCGGCCTTCTCGTTCAGCTGCTCGCGGGTGTCGTTCAGCTCCGTCTCCACGCGGCGCTTCGTCCGCTCAAGCTCATTCTTGGCCTGAGGGGAGAAAGAGAATGAGAGAGAAAGGGAAGGATTAGTGTGGATGCTACATTAGGAAAAGAAAACAAAAGAGAAAAGTGAGATAAAATTAGCAGCAGCAGCAGAAGATTCTTTCTAGTCTGGAGACAATGGGAGATGTTATGTAAGACTGGCTACGGCTAAAATACACTTTGCCTGACACACTTAGGATGTGCGGCGAGATGAGGAAGAACAAAAATAGATATCCTGCTGCTGACTGATGAATGAATATCTGATAGACAGCTGAACCAGGGAAAGAGCCCAACACCACCTACCTCCGTCTCCTTCTTCAGGCGCTCCTCCAGCTCGACGATGGTGCCCTCGTTCTTGTGCTTCAGCTTCGCCAGCTGCTTCGCCTTGTCCTCCTCCTCGCTGATGCTCTTGGTCACCTCCTGGAGGCGCTCCTCCAGCATCTTCTTCTCCTTGGTCAGCTTGGCGTTGCTGTCCTCCAGCACGGCGCTGTCCTCCTGCACCTTCTTCATCTTCGACTCCAGGTTGCTCTTCTCAATCTGCAGCTTCTGCCGCTGCGACTCCTCCTCCTCCACCTGCTCCTCCAGGTCCTGGACGGCCTCCTGCAGCCGCTTCTTCTCCGCCGTCAGCGTCGCCGTCGACTGGACCTCCTCCTCGAGGCGCATCTGCAGCTCGTGGATCATGTCCTCCAGTTCCACCTTGCGCGTGTGCAGTCGCATGCGGGCCTCCTCCGCCTCGCTGGCCAGCTCGCTTTCCGCCTGCAGCTGCATCTCCAGGTCGCTCTTCTCATTGACCATGCTCTGCAGCTTCTTCTCCAGCTCGCCAATCTCCACCTGGACGCGCGCCTGGGCGTCCTTCATGTGGCGAATCTCATTCTCCTTCTCCAGCAGCTTGTCCTCGTGCTTGGTCACCTCCAGCAGGGGCTTCACCTTCGTGTACAGCCGCCACCAGCTCCAGTTGCGCAGCTTGAGGTAGGCGGCGCAGTTGCGCTGAATGATGCGAATGGCGTTCAGCTGCTGCAGGCGCTTGTGGTAGTTGCGGCGGGCGATCAGCCCCCGGCAGCACGCCTGGAAGTTGACAATCAGGTCGGAGATCTTCATGTCGCGCTCCTCCTCCAGCTGGGCGAGCACCCCGGCGCGGAAGAAGATCTTGCTCTGGCCGATGCGGTAGAGGTTCGGGTCGAGGTCCAGCGCGGCGATCATCTTCTCGCAGGCGAGCTTCCCGTCCATGAAGCCCTTCGGAATGACGTTCGGCGTCAGCAGCTCGTATCTGCGATCGGGCGGGATCAAGTTAGTGAGTGAAGGGGTTCGTTGTGATTAGACAACAATCGCCACCNACGTTCGGCGTCAGCAGCTCGTATCTGCGATCGGGCGGGATCAAGTTAGTGAGTAAGAGAGAGGGTTCATGTAGTAACTAGACAACAATCAGCAAAGGGGGCACTTACCGCTGCTTGAACTCCTGAAATTGAATGCGATTCGGAAAGCCCTGGCGGCAGATGCGAATGCCCTCGAGGACGCCGTTGCAGCGCAGCTGGTCGAGCACCAGCGGCGCGTCAATCTTGCCCGCCTTCTTCTCGTGGTTCGGAATGATGCATCGCACAAAGTTGGGATTGGTGTTGCGCAGCGTGTTCATCAACTTCGACAGCTGGTCCTTGTACAGCTGCGAGACGGTGCGGAACATGCCCTTGCG